CAGTGTCACTGGCCCTCATATGTGGGATCTGAACCGGGGCCCTCTGGCATCCCAAGCCAGTTCTTAACCATCGCGCCACTCGGCCGGCCCGCAGAGCTCAAACTCTTGAGCGAGCTCCTAACCAACTGAGCCACTCGGCCGGCCTCCTCCCCTTTTCATTCTGAGTGGCGAAGGGTCTTCCGTGGGGCCCTCGCTGCCAGCTACCTGCCGACATTCACCATGAGCAGGATGTCCCCTAGCCGTCCACTCATCACATCCCCCTCTCTGTGTCTTGCAGCCTTGAAGAGATCTTTTGAGGTCGAGGAGGTCGATACGCCCAACTCCACCCCACCCCGGAGGGTCCAGACTCCCCTGCTCCGGGCCACTGTGGCCAGCTCCACCCAGAAATTCCAGGACCTGGGTGTGAAGAACTCAGAGCCCGCTGCCCGCCATGTGGACTCCCTAAGCCAGCGATCCCCCAAGGCCGCCCTGCGGAGGGTCGAGCTCTCAGGGCCCAAGGGCGAGCCCGTGTCTCGGCGCACCGAGCTCTCCATTGACATCTCGTCCAAGCAGGTGGAGAACGCTGGCGCCGCCGGGCCATCGCGGTTTGGGCTCAAGCGGGCCGAGGTGCTGGGCCACAAGACGCCAGAGCCCACCCCTCGGAGGACGGAGATCACCATAGTCAAGCCCCCGGAGGCAGTCCACCGGAGGATGGAGACCCCCGCCTCCAAGGTCCCCGAGGTGCCCGCCGCCCCCACCGCCGACACCGTCTCCAAGAGGGTTGAGATCCAGGTGCCCAAGCCAGCCGAGGCGCCTGCCTCCCCCAGCCCGGCCCAGACCCTGGAGAATTCAGAACCCACCCCAATGTCTCAGCTGCAGAACAGGCTGGAGCCCAAGCCCCAGCCCCCCTTGGCTGAGGCCCCACCCAGGAGCCAGGAGGGTGAGTAGCAAAGTGCCGGGTGTGTGAGTGGGGGCGGGAGCTGGCTTTGCCGTAGAGTCTTGGCTGAATTGGGGGTGGTGGGGTATATGCTTCCATGGAGATCTGAGAACATAGGGGCGAGTGTCCGAAGGCTCGGGGAGGGGACTGGCAGCTCTTTCTGTCCATGGGGGACAGACCAAGATGCAGCACGTTGGACTTGGTCAGACTTTGGAAGGGACCTCTGGGTTTCGAGGCCCCTCTTTATTGGTCAGCATGGGCTGTGCTGTAGGACTTCTGCTGTGTGAGCCCAGGACTGCGGGGGGGCTGGCAGCCTGGAAAGTGAGGGTGGGGCAGGCTCCTTTGGGGGGGTGGGGGCAGGAGGATGGGCTTGAGACCCAAGCACGGGCTCCACACTGGTGGTCACTGGGCTGGGCAGGCTGGCTCTTGCTCAAGAGGCAGACAGCCCTTGAGTGCCTGGCAGAGGCCCAGGCCTTGTTGGGGGGGAGGGGGGATGGCGGTGGGGGGGTGAGGTCCCCACCCTCTTGGGAGTTTCCACTGGATGGTCTCCCCCCTCCTTCCCTTCCCCCAGGAGGGAGGGCTGTGAGCAGAGTCGAGGAGAACATACACGCCTAATGTCTGCACCCTAAGATTCTGAGGGCCGCTGGGAAGGGGTCCCCAAGCCAAGGAAGCCCCATGGTACCTGCCCGCAGCTCCATTTGGGGGTACTCTTCTGGTGAGGGGAGGGGAAGGGAGGCGAGGAGCTTGGGTACTGTGATTCGAGGACTCACGCGGGGAGCTTACAGGGGTGGCGGTGCTGATCCCCGTGGGACACAGGTCCCCCCTGGGACACGGGGCTGTGTGTAGGTGCCGGCAGGGCTGTCAGCCCCACAAAAGCTGGGTCAGTTTTGATCACAGGACATGGAGGTCAGTAAATGTTCAACAGGTGTTCTTTGGGTTGGAGAGACAGCATATTCCGGGGTTTTGACTTACCTTTTCAAAATTACTGTTTTTAATTGCAGTAAAATAGACATAACGTAAAATTGACCATTTGAACCATGTTTGCGTGTACAGTTCAGAGGCATTAGGTACGTTCATAGAGTTGTGCTATCATCCATCCGTCTCCAGAACTTTTTCAAACTGAAGCTCTGTCCCCACTTAGCACTAACTCCCTCCCCTGCCCCCAGCCTGGCAGCCTCCGTTCTACCTTCTGTCTCTACAAATGTGGCCACTCTGGGTCCGTCATCAGAGTGGAATCACACAGTATTTGTCCTTTTATGCCTGGCCTATGTCACGTAGCATCACGTCTTCCCGGCCCATCCGTGTTGTAGCAGGTGTCAGAATTCCTCCCTTTTTAAGGCCGAATTGTATTCCATTGTCTGGATGGACTACCTTTGCTGTTCATCTGTGGATGGACACTCGGGTGTTTCCACCCTTTGGCTACTTGTGAATAATGCTGCTGTGAACATGGGCCTGCACACATCTATCTCTTCACAAGCCCCTGCTGTCACTTCTCTTTGGATTCCCTTTTTGAATGAGGATTTTCCAGTGGTCAGTGGACTTGGGGACCCGAGGGGCACTCGGCTTGTGTTGGGGCGGGGGTGTTGGATGAGCAGCTGTGTTCTGTTCCAGTGACCATTAGATAGAGCCGTCTGGGTGTGGGGAGGGGCCGAGACTGAATGTCCTACAGGCTGGGCCATACTCTGAGTAGCGAGGGACGAGGGGACCTTGGAGGGCCCTTCCCGCCCTGGGTGTGTGTGAATGTGTTCTCCGTCCCATCTCCCTAACCTGACCGTGCAGAGCCACTCCCACCCACCTATATGGGACAGAGGCACTGTCAGTGTTTGGGGAGTGGCTGGGAGGCCATTTCCTCACAGTCTTCTGTTGGTCCAGGGCCTTTGGCACCAGATTCGTCCCCCTCCTGGGGGTGAGGTGTTCATAGTCGGGCTAGTCAAACAGGATGTGGTCGGGGAGATGACCATCACTGGGCTGTCCAGATCTTGATGACAGCTGGCGCTGAATGCACAAGGAGGTGGCCCTGGCTCTGGGGGACGGGGGTGGCACCGCCCTGGGTCATCAGGCAGGTGGGGCACAGCCTTGGGTATGCAGGAATGGTCAGGCGGGCCCTGGCTCAGGAGCGAGCAGGACGTCAGGAGCAGAACGGTGGTGACCGGCAGAGCAGCAGTGCACGGAGGCTTCTCGGGCGCCGAGGCCCCTCCCCCTGAGCCAGTGGGGTTTAACCAGGCAAAGGAGGGGAGAGAAAAGCATTCCCAGTGAGGTCGCCGTCCAGAGATGTCGGGGAGCCTGGGACTGGAGGGAACGGTGGAATTTCTCCATGGAAAAGAATTTAAATGTCTGTGTGGGCATGTGAGCAACGTCACCAGTGTCCCAGACCCGCTGGCTCTCAGCTCAGGGAGCAGCCCGCTCAAAGGGGCGTCCAGCTCCACCTGGAGGGGTCATAAGCCAGCGTGACTGCCCTTAGTCGCTGAGCATGAGCTCGGGGTCGGGGGAAGGTGCCGTCGTGTGTATACACGTGTGAACTCACATGTGCCCCGACCCCCAGGTCGTACCGGCTGGGTGGGGAGGGGCCCTGAGACCGGTACTCACGGGCTGAGAACCTTTAGGCTGGACAGACGCAGTTGGACAAGGTTGGGGCTGGACAGACACACGAAGAGGAAGGATGCTTGGTGGGGGGAGGGGCTTGGGGGTGGGACTTGGATGACACTGTGGGAGGATCTTTTCTCTTCCAGCAGTGCTCAGAAGTCACTGTGGAGTGAGCTGCGAGGAGTGAGTGGGGAAGCGGTGGCACGGCCCACTGTGGACTGGGGAATGTGGCCTTGACCTGCTTGGCCTCGGACGTCCAGGCCCAAGGTCCTGGTCAGGACGGGATGGAGGGCAGGGCCTTCCCGGTGGAGGAGTGTTCCCGGAACCCACTGCAGTAGATTCCGGAGGCCCAGGGCTAAGTCCCCACCCAGCCCCTGCTCCGTCTGCTTCTTCCTTTGTCCCCCTCCTCTCCCTGGGCCCCGTTTCCTGTTCATCTCTCCTGCAGACCTGGCACTCCCATCCCCTTCCGCCCTTCCACTGGGGGCTGGGTGGGGAGCTCCAGGAAGCCCCCCACCCCACAGGCTCTGCTCTGAGCCCAGCTGGCACCACAGGGGTAAAGGATAAAGGAGGGACAGAGCTCTGTGTCCTCTGCCTCTGCCTCCAGGAAGCCTCCTGGATTGTGGCATCAGGTGCAGGACTGGGTCTCCTGTGATCCCAGCTGAGTTGCTCCCCAGTTGACCTCCCTCAACAGGCACTGTTGAGATCCTTCACTGGCTGACTCACCCTCCCCCCCACCGGGGGGGCCTCCACAGTCCATTTACCCTCTTGTCCAGCGCCCGTCTCCCTGTTCCCCAGCTCCTCCTGCTCTGGTCCTTTCCTGGTCTCCCACAGGCCACCTTTCCTCACAGCGGTTCTGCTCTGACCTTCTGACCCCTGCCCTTGCTCCTCTTTACATCACTGCTCTCTTCGAACTCCTATGCATCCCTCAGAGCCCAGCTCAAATGACACTTCTTCCATGAAACCTTCCCTCTGGCTGAAAGCTGCCACACTTCCTCTGATTCCCATGCTTTTCTGCATCTTTCTCCTGTGTAATACCTCGTGTTTGGCTTGGAATGTAAATTATCTGTGTATGAACCCTTTTCCTCTGCTAGAATTTGTAACGTAAAAATAGTTTTCCATAGTACCTTTTCTTTCTTTCTTTCTTTCTTTTTTTTTTCGCTGAGCCATCCTGCCACCTATATTGGTAGCTTAGCGGCAGCTCAGCTCGGGCCGGGAATCGAACCGGCGACCCTGTTGCTCACAGCTCGCACTCTTGAGCAAGCTCTTAACCAACTGAGCCACTTGGCCGGCCCCATACTACCTTTCTTTAAAATTCAGAACATAGGAAAGAAACTAAAATTTGCCTGTAGTCCAGAGATATCCATTTTTTTTTTTAAAGATTTTTATTGGGGAATTGGGGGGATGGGAACAGTGCTGGGGAATTGGGGGAAGGGGAACAGACAAGTTGCTGTCGTTTTGTTCTTCAATCTAGTTGTGGAGGATGTTGCTTCACTGGCCCAAGTTGGCACCATCATTGCGCTCTTCTCTGGCGAGGCAGATCAGTTGCCGGCTTCTGGACGGCCGCTCACTGCGGCTGCTGGCCGCTCACGCTGGCTGCTGGCTACATACGGTAGCCCATGGCAACCCACTGCCACAGGGAGTGCAGCCTACGCCGTCGCCGGCGACTCATGGCAGCCCAGCTCCAGGTTGAGCTGTTGTTCAGCATCTTAGCTGTGGAGGGCAGTGTCACTGGCCCTCATATGTGGGATCCGAACCGGGGCCCTCTGGCGTCCCAAGCGTGTTCTTAACCATCGCGCCACTCGGCCGGCCCCAGAGATATCCATTTTTATTAAATGTTTGCTATATATTCTTCAAAATTTGCTCCATGCCCCATACTGGATTCTAGGTTTCTTGAGGGTAGGGCTGTTTTTGTTTTCGTTTTTTGTTCTTTTAAGAATCCCATAAGATACCAAGTGAGGGGCCGGCCGAGTGGCTCAGTTGGTTAAGAGCTCGCTCAAGAGTGCGAGCTGTGAGCAACAGGGTCGCCGGTTTGAGTCCAGCCCGAGCTGAGCAGCCGCTGAGCTGCCAACAGGTAGCAGGATGGCTCAGCTTAAAAAAAAAAAAAAAAAAAGATACCAAGTGACTTGGACACAAGTAGGTGCTCAGTAAAATAATGTTGGAGGCGCAAGGTAGGATGCCTTTTCTGTGGCTCTGGCAAGCAGATGCAGGGACCCCAGGGGACCCTCCAGGGCCCAGGCAGAACTTTCCTGGACTACTAAGAACCCATAGACCTGCCCCACTGCACTGTGGCATGCTGGGTTCTTGGTTTGCGAGGCGGCTGCCCGTCCCTGGACCTGGCACCCTCCTTGTCGTCCCTCGGGTCATCCCTGCTCCTCTCGGTCCGGCCTCTGGGTGGGAATGGCCTTGCCTCCTTTCCCAGG